TGGAGTGTGCTCTATGGGATCCTAGTCCCCACCCTGGGGGGGCTCAGAGTGTGTGCTCTGGGCCCCCATCCACTGTGCTGAGGAGCCTGCTGTTCCCACTTTGGGTCTCCAGCTACAAGCCGGGGGAACCCAGGGTGTGCTCTGTGCCCCCCAGCATCCTCCAAGCTGAGGAACCAGAGTTGGGGATGTGGTTCAGGTTGTGCACTGGACCCCCAGCCCCGACCCTGGAGGAGCTCAGGATATGTGCTTTGGGCCAGCAACCCCTGTGTGTGCACTCTGAGACTAGGGACCCTGGGATGTGCTCTTTAGGCCCCCTGCCCTCATGGCTTTGTTATAGAGGCTAAGTGAAGTGGGTGGGTAGGGCAGTTCACATTAAGTAAAAATTGCTTTACGTAGAGGTCTGCAAAACGTTCCACTTAGTTAAGCAACAACTGTCTGTAGTTTCTCTAGCAATTAGTTCAGTTCTATATTTTCTATTTTAATCCTTTAGATTTATCTGAAACAAAGAGAAGCATTGCAGTCTTCTGTCACTTATATTACTGTCTATATATTCATGGAGCTCAGTTAATGTTTCCTTTATGAATTGGGATGATAACATATTTAGAGCACATAAGTTTAATACTGATACTGGTTTCTTGCTTATGATTCCTTTCAGCACAATGTGGCTTCCTTGTTTATCCCTTTTCGTTTTTGAATATTTGTTTTTGTTTTGTCAGATAGGGTGATTGAAACTCCCGGGTTTTTTTTTCTCCCATCCCCTCAGTTTTATTCTGTCTGTCTTTGTTTTTCAAATGTGTTTTGGGTCAGGAACAGATTGTGAAGTTTTGTTTTCTCACCTAGTCTGTTCCTCTTTTTCATTTTATTGGATTGTTTAATCCATTTATATTTATATAAATTATATTAGCTTAGTCTTTTTAAAGATGGCCCTATTTCTGCTAACTCTCTTCCCTTCACCCTCAGTTTCACTCTCCAGTTTGTTATCCCTTTCCCTTTGAGGTTTTGCTGTTACTTCCTTTTCTTTCCTGCTTTAATCTAGTGATTTAATTCTTCCCATCTTTAGATGGGAAGTAGAAAGGGGAAAAAAACAAACTTCTTTCTCCTGCTTTCAGCTCGTCCTATTCATTTTTCAAATTTCACTTTTTACACCCCTTTCCAAAGAGGATTTCTCTCCTCCACTGTCTTTGCTATGTATCCTACAGTTCTATCTACTGCAAGCCCTCATTCTTTGGTTCATGGCCCCAGTACTTATCTAGCCCCTCTCTCTTCCCGGTATATTCCTCATTGAATCAAATCTTGTGGGATATTCATCCTGAACTCTCCCCTTTAAGTACTTTCTGCTTCTTTGCAGTTTGCCTCCTTTTTGTGCCTCACTCCCAGAAAAATGCCAATTCCTGCAGGTGATAGAGGACACTGCCCCAGGTCGGGGCCCCCCTTTCCTTCCATGTGCTTCCACTGTCCCAGCCACTAGTTATCTCCAGGATAACTCTCCACTTCTGAAGTCAAGACATTAGACTTTTCAAGCCCCAAATGCTTGCAGATGATACCAAGCACAAAGTCCTCACCTCCCTTCACCAGCTGTCTCGGTTCACCCACAGAAGCCTTCATCAGTGGCATCCCATCCCCCCAAACAAGGCTTTCTTCGCTTTCATGCTCTTCCCTCCTCTGCAGGCTCTCTTCTTACTTTGTAGGAGTCATTTTCCCTCATCGCCAACTGAGGCTTGGCTGGGGCACATTACACATTCCTCTCTGTCCTACTCCTCCCCTCCCCTTCCACACACCCTCCTGTTTTGTGAGTTAGTCCCACGGAACACATCGATTCACTGTAGGCAGGGTGCCCCAGGCTCATCTCTGCACCATTGCTTTCTCTGGAGGGTGGGGACCTTTATTTTTCTATGTGTGTTCCCAGCACCTAGCACATAGAGGGTGCTAAATAATTACTCACTGATTGATTGGCAAGGTCCCTTCCAGATATAAACTATGACCCAGGTGGATCTAATGCACACCCAATTCTCAATGAGAGGGAGGAACTGGTTGCTCTGGAGGAAATGATGGGAACCTTGGGAGAAGAGACTACTTCCTCTTAAATTTATGATAAGGAAGAAAGGAAAATTAAGTATAGTTAGTTAACACTCTTTTGTCTACTCTGTGCCAGGTACTTTGCTTAAGCACTGGGGATACACAAAAGGTAAAAACATGGTTCCTGCCCTTTCATGGTCCCTGCTCACATTCACAAGGAAGACGCATACAAATAACTGTGTGTGTAGCAGATGTATCATATTTTCTCGGGTCATCTCAGAGGGGAGGCGCTAGCATAGGAAATGGTGAAAGGAAGGGTTGGGGGTGGTAACTGGGGACCAGGAAAGGCTTTATGGAAGGTAGAATTGGAACTGAGTCTTGAAGGAAGCCAGGAATACCACGAGGGGACTGTGAGGAGAGAGAGCATCAGAGGCTTGGGCCAATGCAAAGGTACTGAGCCTGGAGCTGAAGGAACCTGTGTGTGGAGCAGCGAGGAGGCCAGCGTACAGTTAATCTCGTTAGAGTATGTGGGGGGGAAGTAAGCTATGAGAAGACTAGAAAAGTAGGAAGGGCCAGAACATTTTATATTGGATCCTGGCAGTAATGGGGAATCACTAAATTTTGTTGATTGGGGAGTGTGGGGGGGTAGGACACGATATGGTCACTTAGACTTTAGGAAAATCACTTTGGCAGCTGATTGGAAGGTGGACTGAAGTAGGGAGAGACTTGGGGCAGTTTGATGTACACCCTATATTTGGGAGAGCAGACTCCAGTGTTCAAAGAAAGAATCACAAGACTCCCATAGACTAAAATTCCATAAGGGAAATCAGTCCAGGACGGGTGGGAAGCACTAAAGACAAGGAGAAAAAGGAGATGTTGTCCAAAGAGACCAGCTGTGGATGCCCAGGGAAGTAAGTGTCAACCCACTTAAAGATTTAAAAAGGCATGTGCAGATGGTATGAGATGAATATAGAAGCAGGACAAAGCCCTGGAAGAAGAGTTAGGAGTTCCAGAGAATGAGAGAGAGCGGAAAGAATAGATTTGGAATTAAAGGACCTAGGTTCAAATCCCAGCTCTGCTCCTACTGTGTGTGTCCTTGGGGAAGCCACTTAATTTCTCTGGGCCTCAGCTCTTAATTGATAAAAATGACGGAGGCAGACTAGACAAGATGGCCTTGAAGGTTCCTTCCAGCTCAAAACCTAGGAAACTATGAATTACTAGAGTGTGGTGAAGAAAGCTGTGTTGTTATTTTCACTATAGTGGGGACAGTGGAGGAGCTTTTGTGAAATTGCCTGAGGAATTTTTAATTTCTTCTAGATTCAATAAAAAGGAGGGTGAAAAGAGATTTATGATGTGATTACTTTGATATTTAGCAAATTTTATCCGTCATTGATTTGTTGGATGGATTTTCAGGGAGGCACTGGGGGAAGAAGAAGGAAGATTAATTAGGATTCTTTGATAATATCTCATGGATGAGATGTTAAAGAACTGGGCTCCATTGCAAACTGATTTTACCAATGCAATGGGCAGCCAAATGGCGCAGTAGGTAGAGAGCTGGACTTGGAAATCAGAAAGACCTGAGTTCAAGTTCTGCCTCATATACTAGCTGTGTGACCTCACCCTCTGCCTCAGTTTCCGCATCTGTGAAATGGGAATAATAATAGCACCTACCTTATAGAGTTGTGAGGATCAACATGAAATATTTGTAAAGCGCTTAGCACAGTGCCTGGCAAATAGGAGGCGCTTAATAAATGCTTACTCCATTCTCTTCTTTTGTTGGCTACACTTTCCTTTTCTCCTTGGGCAAGTTATTTAAATTCTTTTGTACTCAGTTTCCTTTTCTGTAAAGTGAGGCTTTAGAAAAGATGATCTCGAAGGTTTCTTTCACTTCTTTAGTCCATGATGCCACAAAGCAACCTATCTGATCTTGGAGAGCTCTGAGCGCCATATATTAGGTTGTTGATTTTTCTGTGAAATTCAAAATGGCCTCCATGGGGCTTCTACCCGCTGGTTGTAGGTCTGCTTTTCAAAATTACATGGAATTAAATGTACTCCCACCTGTATAGTCAAAGTGATGTAGTAATGAAAGGATGGGAGTTGAAGTCAAAAGATCTTAGTTGATATTTTAGCTTTGACACGTTATTAGCCGTTTAATCTTGGACATGTCATTAATTGCAGCAAACCTTGCTTTCTTTACTTGGAAAAGGTAATTATTGGCTTTCTTATCTCATGAGGTGGTAATGAGGATCAATGGGAAAAATTTTTTATAAAATCAAAAATTATTACATGAATATACAATGGTAATATTAATGGCTGTGCCCTTTTCAGTTGTACAGTTTTTAGGGGGAGTTGTGTTTTATTTTTGCAGTGGAGGTTATGGAAGACAGAACTATGTGTATAATAGAGTAAACAAAAAATATTGACGCTTGTTTATTTCTTACAGATTGGGAGATTGCACCTGAAACCAAGCAGCCAATTCAAAAGCCAGTCACTTCTAAGGAAGGATCTTCCCGGGAAAGACTGACAAGGGATGGTCCCTATGTCTCCAAATTGGGAGCAACCCAGGAATATGATTCCATCTTAGAGAGGCAAGAGAGCCATGGGGTTAAATATCTTAGGCAAGAGAAAGTCCTGCAAATGAAAACTGCTAACAAAGTGAGAGGCTTTGAATGCAACAAGTATGGCAGAAGCTTTAGTCTAGGACCAATCCTTTTTCCTCAACAAGAGAGTATCTATAGGAAAGAGTCTCCTTAAACCTGCTACATGGAGAAAGAGCTTATGGCTAGATTCAGAGCTATATAAAAGTAATAGCATTTGCTCAAAGAAGATCTTCGCTAAGTATGACGAATGTGGGAAATCCTTCAGGAATAAGTCAGCTCTTAGTGAACATCAGAGAAAGCATACTGTGGGGAAGTTTTTTGAATGTAATGAATGTGGGAAGGCCTTCACTACCAGCTCCTCCCTTACCTATCACAACACAATTTATACTGGAGAGAAACCTTATCAATGTAATGAATGTGGGAAGGCCTTTACTACCAGTTCATCCCTTACTTACCATCACACAGTTCATACTGGGAAGAGACCATATGAATGCAGTGAATGTGGGAAGGCCTTCCGCTTAAGCACACATCTTACTGAACATCAGAGAATTCATACTGGAGAGAAACCTTACAAATGTAATGAATGTAATAAAACGTTCACCTATAGCTCATCCCTTACTTCTCATCAAAGAATTCATACAGGAGAGAAACCATATGAATGCAGTGAATGTGGGAAAACTTTCACCTATAGCTTATCCCTTACTTATCATCTCAGAATTCATACTGGAGAGAAACCATTTGAATGTAATGAATGTGGAAAGGCCTTCCACTTAAGTTCACATCTTACTGAACACCAGAGGCTTCATACTGGAGAGAAACCTTACAAATGTAATGAATGTAGGAAGGCTTTCCGCTTGAATATTCAATTTACTCTACATCAGAGAATCCATACTGGAGAGAAACCTTGTGGATGTCCTGACTGTGGGAAGACTTTCCGTCAGAACAGACAACTCATTCAACATCACATAATTCACACAGGAAATAAACCAAATGAACATGGACAGGCCTTCCACAGAAGAACAGATCTGGTTGATCATCAAAAAATACATACGGAAGAGAAACCTTTTGAATGTAATTAATGTGGAAAAGCTTTCCACTGGAGATCAGGACTTATTGAACATCAGAGATACGAGAGTGAAGCCTTATGAATGTAATGAATGTGGGAAGGCCTTCAATCGCAACTCATCCCTTACTTACCATCAGAGAATTCATACTGGAGAGAAACCATATGAATGTAATAAATGTGGGAAGGCCTTCTGAAGGTGCTCACAACTTACACAACATCAGATAATTCATACTGAAAAGAAACCTTATGAATGTAATGTGAGAAGGCCTTTTGTTTGAGGTCACAACTCTCTAGACATCAGAGATTTCATATTTTACAGAAATATAATGAATGGGGGAAAACGTTCCATCAAAGCCCATAATTTATTGATAAATATACAAGATATGAAACCAAGGAAATTTCACCACCAGACAATTTATACCGGAGAAGAGAAATTCCACAAATGAAATCAATATAGAAAAATTTTAAATTACAAGTCATCTCTTATTTCTTCCTGGTTTCATAACGTGTCGTAATCAATTGAGTTTCTGCTCTTTGGGATTCTCCCTCCTGTGGTGATCAAATAATGGACCTTTGGTTCAGTCCTTGCCGTTCAAAGCAAAAACTTGCTTCTGAAAAATCCTTTTCTGTTAGTTTCCCCCATTCTTTTATCCTCATATTTTCCGGTCCTTCCTTTCCTTACTGTCAATACAGTCCCAGGGCCAACTTAGTGTGGTGGTCTCAAATACCTCTGTTTGAGGCAGTGGTTAGAACATGACTCTCAGTGTTCTAGTCTGTCATGATCTTTTTGGACCATGCCTTCATTAACCAGTGTGTTAGATAGTCCTTCTAGCTTTGTGTCATCTGAAAATTTGATAAAGATGAAACTTGTGGATTTATCTAAGTCACTGATGTTGTTAAATTCCTTAAGTTAATTAATTTTTTCCACTCCATAAGGATCATGCATAGGAAGCTGCCTCTGTTCTAGATGCCTGGCATCACTCCCCGCCCCTCAGTCTCAAATCCTCCATATCTAGAGTTTTCCATGCTAGAAACTTCTAAGTTCTGGTATTGATAGGAGGGGTGTGCCTCCCCTGGCCACTCCACAGCATCTCCCTGCCTAGGATTAAGATGAGAAACCATTTTGAAACACGTGAATAATATACCACACCTTATATTACTCCTGGTCTGCAGCAATCCTGTGGAGGATGGAACTCAGGAATTCTCATGCCTAATGAGGAGTGATGAAAGCTTGGTATAACTGGAGTGTGCCAGGGGCAGTCTTGTAAAATTATTGACCTTTTTTGCTGTGGCCTTAAGATAATTCTACCCAAAGTCAAGCAGCAGCCCTCTGGTTGCGTCCTTGTCCTGGCGACTGTGACACTGATGTCTTCTTTGCCCTGAAACCTTCTTCTCTTCCCCACCATTCTCTTGGGTATCACACCTTGGGATTTGTCCCTTCCCTTCTATGATGCAGGCTAAGATGAAGTTCAGTCAAAGCAGTTGACTCAGGTTTATTGGGACACAATCCAGGCCTATAGCAGGGTATCGGCAGGTTCCTTTGGCGTCAAAGACATCTTGCCACTGAGGACATAAGTAGTGTTTGATAACTGGCCTCCAGCTACATCAAAATCTTCCACTTGATAATATTAAAGTGAAAAAAAAAAAGGCTACAGGACTAGGTTGTTTTGGGTTTGAAGAGAGAGACCAGTCTTGGCTTCTAGGAGCTGCTGACCTGCATCAGCACTTTGTCAGAGAATTATGTAGCAAGCTGAAAGAAACCAAACCAAACCAATATGCAAGTATGAAAATAGAACAACTCTTATTCTTGGCCGGAAAATTACCATCTACATGAAGCCAGAGATGCTTAAAGGCACTTTAAAGTGTTCGGTTCTCTCTTACAAGTAAAATTACTGCCCCAATATGACTCCTGTCATTGCTAGTGACTTTTATGGGCTAGTAAGCAGAGGCTCCTCATTTTCTCTCCCAAAGTGAGGTAAGCCTGTTAAATACACTTTTTCCCCCAGCATTCAATTAGTGGTTTTTTTTTTTCTACCAGTCCATTTTTCATTTGATATCAGATTTTAGGGCATATACTAACACATGCCTACACACTCCTTCCAAACAAAGAAGTCAATAGTCATCTCATTTAAAACATCATCTAGTGATTCAGAATAGCATGTCTTCATTTCCTTGAAGTGGAGAGAATGACCTGGAGGTCCCAAATACCATTATTGATGATTGTTGTGGATTCCCTCCCCATCACAAGGCTAACAAGGCATATCTTTACTTCAAATCATCCTAAGGGCAATCTTTGACAGGGAGTAAGTAGAAAAGATTAGGAAAAATGAAGTGAATGTGTAAGTGAATGTGTTGTTACTGCATTACCAAATAAATTCTGGCGCCAAATGATGTGTTGGAGGAGGAAATGTAATTTACTTGCCTGTCATGGTTGGGTAGAGGATGAGACGTTCTACATTAGTTACTTTTCCAGCTAACTGAAGTTACTCATTCACGTGTTAAAAATTATTTTTATTTACACCATCCTTAAAATAAGAACCATTTGGAAAAGAAAATGGGATTTGGAGACAGATGACCCAGATTCCAATCCTGGCTTTGCCAACATTTCTTGTTGTGGTTCTGGAAAATCATTTAAATCCTTTAGGCCTCAGTTTCCTCATAGGGGGCGGGGTGTGTCGAACTTCCTGGTCCCTTCCAGCTCTAAATCTATTGTCCTATGATTGTTAGATTCTTAAAAGAGGAATGTAATTTAACCTTGTCTCGGTGATTCAGAATGGTCATGATGAATGTACTTTGTGTAAGAAGCTTTGACCTGCATATACCCAGATCACCTAACATGGATGTCCCCTGCTGCCCTGAGTTCCCTCACCAAGTAGGTATGGGAAGCCTCCTTTGACTGACTGCTCTGCCTTAACCAGCTACATCTTTAGAACTGGCCAGACAAGGCAGTTACTTTCTTTCTTGCTCCTTCTTTCCTGTTGCATCAGAGAGTGAAGGTCACACAGTACATGGGGCACCATGAACTGAACACCCTCTCTTGTTTTAACCTTTGGCTCTGAGAAATAGTGGTTTTGAGCCATGGCAACCCTAGAGTCAAGATTCGGGGCAGAATGGGGCAGCCAGCCAGCCCAGCAGGGAATCCTGGAGAAGCCGGGGGTCTGGGACTCGAGCCTGAGGCAGGAGCTGGTTTGGACTTGGAACTGGGGCTATTTGTTCTATAGGAATTGAGCTAAGCTGTGAGCCCTTCTCTCTTCTCCCCTACATGCCTCATTCTCAGCCTTCCCTTTTTCTTTTGGGATTAATAGACTCACTCATACCCATGACCTCTGTTTAAGTAAACACCTCACAACCCTAATGATGTATCCTCTTCCTATTTGGGACTATAAGCGGTTTAATCTTATTAAGTTCCTCATGATTTCTCATTCATATTTACCTTTATGTGCCTCTCTTGAGTCTACATTTTCTGTTTAGCTCTGGTCTTTTCATCAGGAATGTCTGCAAGTTTTCTATTTTATTAAATATCCATTCTACCTCACCCCCAATAGGATTGTACTCAGCAGCTAGTTTGGTAAAGTGGATCAAGCTCTGGGCCTGGAGTCAGGAAGATAAGTCTTCCTGAATTCAAATCTGGCCCCAGGCATTTACTAGCTGTGTGACCCTGGGCAAGTCACTTAACCCTGTTTGCTTCAGTTTCGTCATCTGTAAAATGAACCGGAGAAGGAAATGGTGAACCAATCTTTGCCAAGAAAACCTCAAATGGAGTCACAAAGAGTCAGATACAACTGAAAAATGACTGAAAACAAAAAGGTTTGTACTCAGTTGTGCTGGGTTGTAATCCTAACTCCTTTGCCTTCTGAGACACAGGCATACCTTGTTTTATGTGCTTCATTTCGTTGCACTTTGCAGGTATTGCATTTTGTTTTTAAAGAAAGTGAAGGTGTGTGGCATTGCAGTGTTGAGCAAGCCTGTCAGCGCAATTTTTCCAACAGTATGTGCTCACATGGTGTCTCTGTGTCACATTTTGATAATTCTCACAATATCTCAATTTTTTCATTATCAGTATATCTGTTATGGTGATCTGTGATCCGCGATCTTTGACGTTACAATTGTAATTGTTTAGGCTGTGTAGATTCTGAAGTGGGCAATACTGCCCTCTGGGGGGCGCTGGACTGATCCAGGGGGGAGGTAGTAGTCCTGGGTGCAATTGGAGGGCATTGAATAAAAATAAAGGGACGGTGGAAGCATAAGGAAAGAAGAGAAGCAAATTTTGGAAAATCATTTGTACATGTTTCATCTGTTGTGTAACTAAGTTAAAGTTGAAGGGATTACATTACTTTCCAAATAAACACACAAAATGCAGGTTACAACTGATCAGTGGTCAAGTCTGCCTACAGATCTCAAGTGTTGACAGGTGAGCGAGTAGTGCCTTGTTGGGAAGTCCAGCATGTGTTGGCAGGAATATGTGTAATGTGTAATGACTTGTTGACGATACAATGGTTACATGACACAATATGGCCTCATTGAAATTTCAATGCAGGAAAACCTCCACAAATTTACAATAAACTATTAAAGATGCATAATTTTTTTTTTCTTTTGGTGAGGCAATTGGGGTTAGGTGACTTGTCCAGAGTCACACAGCTAATGAATGTTATGTGTCTGGGGCCACATTTGAACTCAGGTCCTCCTGAATCCAGGGCCAGTGCTCTATCCACTGCGCCACCTAGCTGCCCCAAGATGCATCATTTCTTTAAAAAAAAAAATCATTTTTTTTGAAATGATGCAAAATTTTTAAAAAGCCATTAAAGAGTTAAAGAAAGATTTCTGGGGGGGGGGGACATAATTAAAAGGCCAAATAAGTTTGGGAACCTCTGGTTTAGGGGTACCAGGAACTGTACCCATATAAAATGAGAAACTTAATGTTGTGTGTTCTGACTGCTCCACACACTGGCCTTTCCCCCACCTCTCTCCCCATCCTCAAGGTTTCCTATTCCTCCAAACAAAATCATATTGAAATCAGGCCAATTAGTAGCCCTACAGTGGCCTGTAAGCATTCAAGTAAAAGGAAGAGTCAATCAATGTGGCAGACTGCATTGCTGTCTTATTTTAAGAAATTGTCCCAGCCACCCCAGCCCTCAGCAATCACCCCCCCCATCAGTCAGCAGCCATCAACATAGAGGCAAGACCC